AGATAAGTTATAATTCTCCAGTAATTTTAAAGTCCGCATTGTATCTCCAATTTATGAATAATTGGAATTTCTAAATTTGTCTCTTGCTGAGGGTTCATGAATTTTGATAATAAGGTTGTTAAAATCAAATCGATTATACAAGAATGAAAGATATATGTCGATACGGAACTTTATGAAAAGTAAAATCGCAACATGAACACAAATGCATGCACCACAATAAACCGAACACCCTACAATTAACTCGATTCTTGCATTTACATACAAATGAGTTTTTATTCATTGTGTGAGGGTTAATGCTCCCTGGTGTTAAACCTCCTTCCCTTGTGTTTAGTTTCTTTTAATTTGTTAAAAAAATATTTGTATAAAATGTTTTAAATAACATTATGGTAAGTTATTTGGTAAAAATATAAGTAGTATATCTATAAATTCTTTTTTTTAATTAGTATAAAACGAGTATTATATAACATTTTATCATATTGTTGTAGTAACCATATCATGAATGTGTAGTAATTTCATTAGAAACAAAATCGAATAAAAAAGGGAGGAAAGAAATTACGGGAAGCATGAAGAGACAGGAGATGCTTAAGTTGAGAAGTTGGATTTTGTGAATAATGTGTCTGAGAGGCTCGGCAATATGTGCGTTATAAGTTTTTAGCCGATGTAGAAAGAAGCAAACTCGAGGCTTGATATATGAAACTTGAGAGTCGAGCCTTTTTACATATCCGATTTCGACCATTGTTGTTGTTATGAGTTTTTAAATGTTGTTGCCAATGTTTTCATGAGAAAATAGTAAAAAAAAAATATAATGATTAGCGAGATCAAAACGTTTTTATTTGAGCATTTTTAATTATATTAATTTGGACAATAAAGAAAGTAAAGCGAAATTCAACTAAAATATGTGAGTCATGAGACGGGTGAAGAATTTCAAGTAGAAATTTGGGTTGCTAACGTTAAGCTTCATCATTATATTAAGATAATTATAAACAACCCAAGCTCAAGCTTCACATTTTGAAACGACATATGACTAGAGACGGAGAATTCGTATGGTGTTTATGTTATATCTCTCATGGGCAATCCTAAAAAACTACTTTTTTATATTTCGTATAGTTACTAACATCAATTACA